GTGGTGGTGGTGGCGGCGGCGGCGGCGGTGGCGGTGGTGGTAGTGGTTTTTCACGTGGCGGAAACGGCCGATACTCTGATCATCGACAAGATTCAAGAAGTAATCAACGTAGCGGTTTTCATGAAGGTGGTGGAAATAATTATCGCGGACGAGGAAACAATTTTGGTAATCAATCAAATGATGACCGACGCGGTGGATATCATCAACGAAATGATTTTAATAGTGGACGTGGTCGCGGTGGTTTCGATAATAACCGAAATCAATACAATAGCAGAGGTTCGTTTCATGATAATCAACGTGGTGGTAGTAGTAGTGGTGGTGGTGGTGGATTCAGGCAAGATTTTAATAATCCACAACGAGGAAGACAATTCAATGACTATGATAACAATCATCAACAGTCACAAGGTGGCGGAAGAGGATTCATGCAGAATAATAATAGTTTTAATCAACAACATGATAGACAAAGCTTTGGCTCAAGAGTAAGTTTTTTTGAAGTTCACGATATTTTAGAAAATTAAAAACGATAAGAATTTCGATGAAAATTTCAGATGGCACCACAAGATTTATCTAGAATTCAATTAATAGTTTTCTTCTACATAATTTTCGCGGACTGTTTCGTTTAACCTAAAAAGAAAAGTTGCAGATCAGAGTCGCAGTGTGAAATAGAATTTAATAATGCATGAACTTACGTAGTGTAATCAAAATTTTTTCAAGTCATACTTAAACTACACGTATTAAAAACGAGAATTGAAAAATAAAAATTCACCGGTATGAAATAGATACTAAGCTCATGTTTCTCTTCATTGCAATGAACAATAGACTCATGATTGCATGATTTTTATTTTAGCCGCCAATGCAACAGCAGCAACCACCACCACCACAACAACAACAACATTCATTTCATAATCCTCAGCAGCAACAACAACAACGTTTACAACCACTTATTCAAACTCTACCATCTAATCAACAACAATTTCCATCTCATCTAACCCAAGCAACAAATAATCCTAATCTATCTCTATCAGCACAAAATTCACTCAATGTTAATCAAATGTCGAATCCTGCTAATGTTTCGCAACAAAGTGCTCTTGATCCATGGCTTGCATTATGTGCAGCTGCTCTCAATACGCAACCTACAGCGGTAGCAGCACCTCAACAACCACAACAAGATACGAATTCTTTAACACAACAATGGGCACAATGGTTAAAAACAGCGCAAATGGTTAATTTAAAAACAATTCATCTTTAATTTGCTTTTAAAACAACTGTTTTCCATTTAGGCACAGACAGCTCAACAAGCTCAACCTCAATTAACTGTTCAACAAGCTGATTCTCATCATCATCAGCAACAACAACAACAACAACAACAGCAGCAGCAGCAAATGCCAGATGCAAGTGCTTTGTATTATCAAGCATATTATGCTCAATTAGCTGCTGCTCAACAACAAGCTGCCGCTGCAGCTGCTGCAGCTGGATCATCAATTGGAGGTGTTGCACCACCTAGTAATAATGATAAATAGCTTTATTGAAGATCATTTTTATGTATATAAACCTCTGTTCTAATAAAAATAAGAACAAGTGGTCGAGAATTTCTCTCTATTCATTTTCCTTTCTCAATTTCTAATTGAGATCATATATTGTTGTTGACTTTTTTTTGTACCGTGTGTAATTCTGCTCTTTGTTTAACTATTATTCTCATTACTTTTGTGTTTGTCTTTGTTTGGAAAACAAAATATCGTTGTTTTGTATTTATATGGATTTATTGTCTACTTATTGTCTTGAAACAAACCAACTAAAGTGATTAAATGAAAAAAAATATCAATTTGTTCCCTTTCTTTTTGAAAATGTAGATGTCTATTATCGATGCTATTGATGCATTTGATAAACTTGAATTTAATGATAATCGTGCATTTGCAATTGCCTCCGCTTTAATTGCTAAATCTGTTCAACAATACAACGAGAATCCGTCAGCAAAATTCGATAGCCTTCAATTATTATTTGAAAATGAGTAAGTTGAAAATTGAATTTGGACTATTGATTTTCTGTTCATGAATATTTGCTTTTTAGTTCATCTGAAATTACACTTCAACAAAAAACAATCGAAAATGAATATCTTGAAAATGATAATAGAAGCATGTAAGTAATTATTGTTTATTAATAGACGAATATTGATATGTAGACGATAAATAAATACGAGAGATACGAACTAATTTGAAAGAAAATGGAATATTGATTCCCTTGCTTCAGATTGTCAATCGAAAAATAGACGTTTTATAGAAGAAGCAATTGTTTGAAGTTATCATAAATATATACAGAGGTTCTTCTTTTACTTGAAGTACAAAATTATTTTCTCATATTATATTTTTGTACTTTTAATACAATGAAGATAATAATTAAAAGAAACTAATTTTTATCAAAATCTGAAATGATTTCCAGCATCTTCTGTCGGAGAACACAAACGCAGGAAATAGTTTTCTCTTCTGCTCTACACATGCTTTTCTGATTCCATATCCTAAATATCTCATCAGAACTTCAAGGCAGCTAACTGATGTACTTTGTTTGAAATAGGATGCAGAGTATGTTTTCTGAACGAAACTACTACATTATTATAGAAAAAATATAATTCTACAACAAAATCACCATTTTTACAGAGCTCCTCAACCTATTGAACCGAATATCCTTTTTCCGCACATGAAAAGGAGCAATTTGATTAAATAGATAATTCAGCTTAGCATTCTCTTGCAACGAAAGACAATAATTAAATCAATAAAATGAAAACGCACGGATAATGTTGTTATTTCATATGAACTATTTTTCTATCTTGATTTGTTGATCATCTTGAGAACACTTCATGATATATTGTTAGAGAATAGGTCAAAAGCAAAAATTTTCAAATTCTCATGAAATATAGCTCTATGACAAGTAATGTCAAAGCTAAGAGAATCGTATGAGTTTTCTGAGATATTCAATGTTTTAGAATGAAGACAAGGAGAGTTTGTTTTTTGTTTTGTTAAGACGATTATATTTCCTTCGTTTATTTTTAGTTCATTTACTACAATATTAGACTATTGCCTTGGGCAATCATCAATAAATCGTCCGCATGTTTTTAAACAGCCGCTTTACATACCATTTCGTTCTGATCAACCAATAGATTATGAGCCTATTCAATGGCAAGCCGATCCTTCTGTGCCAACACGTTTTATTGTTCAACCATCGTCGCCAAGTCGAGTTCTGCAACCACGTAATGAGCAGACTAATGACAATAATACAAATACTGTTATAATCGATGATAATGATGATCAAAATTATATAGACGCAATGGGTGATGAAGAAAATGAAGCACCAAAGGCAGCAAGCAAGAAAAAAGCAAAGAAGAAAAAACAACAACAACAGACGAATACTGTTACAACTAATGATGATGTTTCAATACAATTAAACAACTCATCAAATAGAATTTCTTCAGCAGGACATAAATTTCCTGTAAGTATTCTATTATAAAATCTCAATTGAAGAATGTTGATGAAATTATTTTTAGCAAAAACTATCATCAAAATGGTCATCTGGTAAACGAATATCAGGTGTCGGCAAAACGAGTGCTATTCGTAAGGTAAATAAAATGAAATCAATGAATAAATGCAAACAAAAATAAGTGAGTGCTAAATTTAAATTTATTAAATAGTTTGCACGTCCATCAAACGATCGTCAAAATCGTGGTGATTCGCGTACACTATTTCGAAACAAACCATCGGTAACAATGAATACAAGCCGTCTTAGTCAAGAACAACGTGATCTATTGGTACGGGCTGCTGAAGAACGTAAACAGGAAGAACGAAAACGTAAAGTTGAGAAATGTAAGTAACGCAAATCAAAAGTCAAAATGTCTTCGATTTTCATTTTCCGTATTTTCTATTCCTAGTGCATGAACAAGCTAAAAAGCGAGAAGAAGTTCTTAATCGTGCAAAACAAATACAGCAAGAAAAAGAACAAAAAAATCAATTACGCATATCCGATAATCAATCTAAAGTCGCCGCTGCAAATCAAAATAAAAAAGCACAAGGTAACAATTTTAATAATTCAACAACATTCAATAATTCAATGAATGAATCAACGACATATGCGAAGCCTGTTGCACAACAATATAAACCTGTTGTATTGGATACAACAAGTAAAGCTTTAAATCAAAATAAAATTATTAAAAATCCAGCAAATGCATTGAAAAAACCAACAGCAACAGCAGCAGCAGCCAATGCTGAATATACATTTGTTGTCGATAAAACTAATCCATTACGAAATGATATTACACTACCATCAAGTTCAATGGTTCAACCCAATTTACAACATAAAGCTGATTGGACGATATTACCAGCATCGGGAAATATTCATGATGAATTAGAACTTGATACAACAGTAACGTTAGTTCACGATTTTTTTCAATCTTTGCTTTTTTTAAAGAAAAATAAGTTGCTAGCGCAACTCCTGCAATATAAAAATATAACTTTCTTAATCCGAAGAACTTTATCGGATTCTATTTGCTCTATAAGTCATATTGTATGGCATACGCTAAGGAACTGATTCTTATATCTGTTATTTGTGAGGAGTTCTAGATTGTTTTTCTTTTCTTTCAATACTTCTGTTTAAATCATATTTTACAAATAACAAATTTATTTTCTAGTGATTTAACTCATCATTCAGATGATGGCAATTATGGAATAGACGATATACGTTCAGATCAAGATTCAGATAACGATGATGAAGACGAAGCCCGTATACCTAATTGGGCTAAAGGTTAGTTTTTAAATTCTATGGCAAATAAAGTCATTAATTAAGTATTTTCTATTAGAACGTTTATTTCAAACATTTTGGAAAACACAAGGTCATTGGTATTTATCACGTCGAACACTTAAATTAACTCGTCGTACATTTGGACATTATCCCATAATAAAAGATGAATTACAAATATGGCTTAGAGATCTTAAGTCAAGCAAACCGTTGTCAGAAACATTTACCGATGCAACATATCTTGATCAAACACAAGCATTTTTTTGAAAGATTTTGAAATTACTTTTCCTAGATACATGTTTATTTTCTTCTTTAATTCGTCAGATAATAGTTCGTAATAACAAAACGAAAATGTTCATATATAATGTATAGTGTGCAGATATCGAAATTGAAATGATTATGTATTTATCTACTGTTTGTTGTTCTTATTAGCTTTATTCTCATGAAATACATGTTATTAATAAAATTAGAGTGTTCAATATAATTGATTTTGATAGTTAAGCTATTGAAAGATGTTGTAATAATTGTGTATGAAGTGACACTTTTTTTTATCTTAATCATATGAGGATTGTTTTTTGATTCGAGTTTCGAGATATGTCTAAAAAAAAGTATAAATCATTTTCATGATTTAAATATGTTCATCTGTATCAAAAGAAAAGTATCGATCAGCATTAGTCAAATCAATTCGTTCTTACAAAGAGCATAGCCTAAACTTGAAATTATTGGCAGAAAAAAATAGATTTTAATTAAAATCTTATTGTATTTCAAAGATGTTTATAATGCAAATATTATTTCTTGAAAAGAAAGCTCATCAAAATCTATTTTGCTTCTTGACTTGTAAACTTTGGCTATCCATTATTGGTGGTCATTTAGGCATGGTAATAGTGACTCAATCAAGAGCAACATCATTTTTCAAATAGCCACTTGTTGTTTGTTTTTTTTTTATAAAGTTTAGCTGTCTCCTTCAAATTTGATTCTTAGTAACTAATTAATAAATTCAATTTTTCTTTCTAATCAACCAGTATACGCATCAAGAATCTTATACGACAGGAAACTTTGTTTTTCCCATCACTTGATATTTTAAAACAATTCTGAAACTTTTTATTTTCACGGAAACTTTCATCATATGAATTATGAATACTAGTGGTGGGTGAGAAGATTGTTTTCACCGCTATATATTGAAAATAACTACTGTGTGTTAACGCGAATCGTGAAAGAACAATAGCAAATGTTAATCAGTGTTGCATAAATATTTGTTTTCCACATGAGTAGCATTCTCGATACTTTATATACGTATCTTTACTCAAGTATTTTGATTAATGTCAGATGTTGTAGGCATTGTATTTGAAATGATTGATTATTCATTAGATTGCATTGATCTCTATCCCTCTCTTCGAATAAAAAAGTAATAAGCATTGAAAATATAGATGAGAATACGAGAATACGCTTTCATAGGCATATTGTTCTTGAGGCTATTATCTAGTGTATTGTTTTTACAAATGATTGACGATGACTATTGGCTAGTCTTTTGCTTTCTTTTTTAACAATGGCACATTCGACAGACTATCGCTCTACGTGCTATTCATGTAATTACGTCTCATTTCACTCTGACCGATCCATATATTGTGTTTGCTGCATCAACCATGTATGTCTCATATAGCCCTCCCTCCAATCTTTCTAGCTCTTTGTCTATTTCTTTCTCGGTTCATTATCGTGACTAGAGTTAGAGTGTGAGTGAGTGTGATCGACAAGCGCATTTATTAGTTTTTCATTCATTTCTCTGTCTACTTGCGTTACACACACATATATATATATATACTCATTCTTTTATAAACACTTACGCTTCCTATATAGAAATAGCTAGATAAATAAAAACTGTGCATGGCTGACTCAATAAAACAAGAATCTGAAATCGTAACCGATAAAGTAGCAGGTATGATATCTAATTTTTCTTAAGTATGAGTGATCTAATACAATCAATATACGTCTCTAGGAACTGAACCAGAAGCTCGTCATGAAGCTAGTCATGGTATGTGTTGTAATTTCTCATAATTTAAATAAAATAATAATACTTTTGCTAAGGTGGTGATGCTGTAAAAGATAAAACCGATGAAAACAAATTCGAAACAGGAAAAGAATCAACCAAAAGTAGTGTTGAACAGGATGTTAAAAATTTTGTTGAAGCTGTTAAAGAAAAAGCTGCTGGAGCGTAAGTGTCTATTATTTTTGTTTCGATCTATAGAATCTGAATATATAGTTTCAACTTTGTTGCTGGCGGCGAAGGCGAAGGAAAGGGTCTTGTTGGAACTGTAAAAGAAAAAGCTGCTGAAGCGTATGTTTATTTTACATGTTAGTTCTGTTTTTATTGAGCAATGTTTTGTATGTCTAGTTATCATTATGTTGCTGAAAAAGTGACTGAAGCAACACATGTTGTAACTGGTGATTCTAATAAAGAAGTCATTAAGGATTCCAGTCAATCAAGTGTTACAGCTGCGGCTGTTACAGACAAGCCTAACGAACAAGTAAACGAAGCTGAAACTCAAAAGTAAAACCTTTAGAGAACTACCTTGCTCAATTCAAGAAAAAAAAAGCAATAGACACTAATATTTCAAATATGAAATGACATTGTACTCTGTTTGTTTTATCTCACTATTAATATGCTCACATTTAATTAATCTCAATATATAAATATTTAATTCTGAAAACATTCAATTAACTTTTATGCACGTGTGTTTGTGTGTTTGTTTATTAAAAATATTTGTTGTGGCTGTGTATATATGTACAGTTTTAACATCTTTTTCTTAGTTGGTAGTATGATCATTTTATGTTTTATTCGTAAAATTTGAACGTTGTTGCAATTTGAAGAAGAAAAAATAAAGAACAGAAACTGTCGATATCAGTAAGATCGATTTCGTTGGATAGATAACTGTTTATCAAAAAACAAACAAATGGCGTTCTTATGTTTATCGTCCAGGTTCTTTTTTTCCTTTGCTACTGATTAATCGTTGATCAAAGAATGAGGATTATTTATAAATAGAAATCATTTGAATGACTTGAGACGATTCGTGTAAAGTATCCATTATCAAGGGCACATTGTTTATTCAATGCCCAAAATGAATCGCATGTGTAGTTAACCGAAACATTGATTGATGAAACAGCTGTGAGTATATTTTCAAAGAAGAAAGATGTTTCCATTCATTCTTGGCTATTAGAAAAAAAATATATACAGATGTGACTCTTTTTTTCTCTTCATGACTTCAAGAAGCAATGAGTAATATGCTTAGCGTATAAAATAAATTAATAGAAGGATGAATTTTTAATAAGCAATATTATAGAAACTTTTTATATGCAAAGAAACGCTAAAGATTTTTATTTATTTCTTATTCATAATTCCTATTCTTCATCAAAAAATAATATTGTCATTCAAATAATAATAATAATAATAGTGTCACTTATAACACGACATCTTCATGAAAGAAAACTACCTCGTAAAAGAAATTAATTAATAGGATATAATTTAAAGATTGTACGACGTCACGATACGGAATCGGATTGTTCACAGCTTTGCTATTTATTTACAAAGCATCTTTCAACAAGATCGATACTAACAGAACCTTTACTTTATCGGTCTTTGATTAAGTCATACGACACATGACTAAGTTGATTTCAAGGATATATCTATATCTATATATATATATACATTTACAATCACATATACTAACTATGCCTGATAGATTAGATAATGTCTCAAATCTATTGAACCATAGCTTAATGTTTCAAAACATAGCTATACACAAACTATGGTCAAAATCACTAGCCTTGTCCTCGTGTGATATCTGTATGTTCTTTAATAAAAAATTTAAGAATCCACAGAACTGATTCAAATCCATCAACAATAATAGCTAATGAAAGAATACGATAAATATTATTTGTGCTATTTTGCAAAGTGGTTATTTCGAAGAAAAATTCTTTAAACGATAAATAGTTTTTTTGCAAACAGAAGAAAAATATTCAGAAATAATATTTTGGTTCATTTCATCATCTAGCAGCATCTATCGATTAAAATGATCTTATAGGAGAACTTCGTTTGATTGAATGCTATCGTTTACCATTTGATACCAATAATTTTTCTGATATCCATCTTAGAATTTATTTTCCAACTAGCATAGCCTAATTTTAGATTAAACGAAAAAAATGTATACACGATACAATGTATTAAGAAACTTTGTTCAAAATTTCATTTCATCGAATGCATATAATCGTTTGGTTCGCTTTCAATCATCTGCAAGTAATATTGCAACCAACACTATTCAAAGTTCCAAGTAAAAATTAAAAAAAAAATCGCAGTTAACTATTTTTTTTTAATTTTGTTTTTGATTCCTAGTTTAAAACCAACGGGTCGTCAACAAACCGACGATATCTTTCTTGATTTAACAACTGATTATAATCGTAAAAGATTCGTTCAAAGTGGACTAGTTTCGAATGCTATTAAAAGCATTAATAATTCTATCTCTGAAAGACTTAGCTTACTAATACTAACAGTAGCTGCTCGCTGTGTTCATCATGTTACACCAGAAAAGCGCGTTCAACTATTAGAAGAAGTAAAATGAAAATTTTTGTTTTTGTTTCTTTCAATTCATGTCTTCTGTTTGCTTTAAGGCATGGAAGACATTAAATGATAAAAAGGTTCGACTGACAACACGCCATTATGAAACATATTTAAGTGGACTTAATGAAAATGGTTTTATATTTGATGCGGATTATTATTTAAAGTTAATTAATGCTGAAAAAATACAAGCTACCCCACGTCTTTACAGTCTACTTTTAACTCAGTGTGTTTGATTTTTCTTGTTCATCCTAAAAAAAATAATGTTTTGTACATAGATATTGTCGCGAAGGTAATACTGATCGTGCACAAAATTTTTTGAAGATGCTTAAAGAACGTAATGTTAGCATTGATGAAGATATTTTTGCTGCATTGATTGTTTGTCAACTTAAACTTGGCAATGACAAAGGTGCTAATGATATAATACAAATAATGAAGGAACGCGGTTTACAACCAACTATATCAACATATAAAGAAATTTTAACAGCACTTATTAGTGAACATAAATCAGAACAATTTGAATATTATTTTGGTCAAATTGAATCTCAACAACGTCAAACATCACCATCAACAGTTTATATTGATGCGCATTTTATTGTTATCTTACTTGGACAATGTATTTCCTATAAGGAACGTCCAATATTTGATGTATTATTAAATGCATTAAAAGAACTTGATCATGGACGTATGCCTAACAATTTATTTAATTTAGCTATACAATGTTTAACAAATGAATGGCATGAAGCTGCTATTGAAGTATTACAAATGCAATCAGAAAGTGAAACAATTGAAGATGAAGCATCACCCTATCAGGGAATTAATGGACGACATTGGATACTCTTTTTCAGGTAAAATTTCCTCAACTGTAGACATTTTTATCTAAAAAGACTATTGCTGTGACATCTAGATTATTCAATTTCGATAAAGTGTTCCACTTAGATGCAACTATGTTCAATAGTTTTTCTCATTGTAATAGTCAGATTTCAATGAATATGATTAAAATGTATCAACGTCGGATGAACATTCCAGGTTTCGTTGCTGACATTCAATCATGTTGTACGAATATATCCATACAAAGTGACCAATAATAACATGAGCAGTCGGTTTGGCGGTACGATACACTGCCAGGAGAATATCTGTGAGAAGTAGTTTCACGAATAGACGTTGACCTATACATTCGATGAAAGGGATAAATAATTAATATGTAGATTTAAAAAGTTGGTCTAGGCAAGCTAAATCCAATATGAATTAACCTTCTGAATTAATGGGTAACTTTTCTTGATGATCGCCGGTGCGTTCTAAGATCATCAATTCATATAATGGAAGATGTTAGGTTGAAAGTTAAAGTTAGAAATTTTGATATTCTCTAGCAAAAGACTGACTTTGAAATTTCGAACTTCTAAACGATTCAAGATTGATAAAAATTTAGATTCATTCGATTCTCTAATAAACAAATGATCGACTAATATTATTGATATTTTTTTTTCTTGTTCAGGCAACTACTTGATAATAAAGAACCTCATTTAATGGATATTTATCTTAAATTAATGATGGAAAAAAATTTGGTACCACTCGATGGCATTCTTCGTGTTTTATATACAGTACCAAATGAAAATCATCAATTAGCACTTGATTATCTTGAACGTGGACAAAAAATAAATCATCCAATGCGCACAAATTATTTTTATCCACTATTATTAAATATCTATTCATCAAAAACAAGTCAAGATTGGACAGATGACGATCGGTTACGTTTATTTCGTTTACTTGAACGTTTATCTATTCCAATTGAATCATCAACATATTCACGTTTTATTCAATCAGCATTTCATCAATATTATCAGAATGATTTTAAACCACTATTAACTATGTTATCAAAACATAATTTACAATCAATACTTGATCGCATCTGTCGTTTATTATTAAATGATGTTCGACAAAATACGCTCAAGTTGGGTACCATTGAACAAGTAGCACCATTTTTTCGTTTGAATACTCGCTCACGGCAAGAAGAATTCGCTAGACATTTATTTACAATAATGAATAATATGCCGAAAAAGTAAACAAAAGAAGCATTTTATTTTGAAAATTCAATCGCTATATTACTTTTTTTTCTACTACGAATCATAGATCAGATAAATTCACTAGCGAAGAAAATGATGCAAGTGCACAATCAACACCAATCGCCGATTACACACCAATATTTCGATCGATTGATTCAATAGCGAAAAATTTAATAGATGATAGTCCAATGTTTCGGCATGAAGTATATATGAATTTACTTCGTTATTCAGCTCAAAATCGTCGAAACGATATAACATCTCTATTAGCTGATCGATGTATACAAGAAAATATTAAAATAGGAAGTTCAATGAATGAAATTGACACATTAACTGGTTATACATTAACACGTGATATTGTTGAACAATTAGCACGTTATAAACCAGGTGAAATGTCATGGAAAGAAAAACTTTCAGCTATGGATTTACAAAAAGCAAATCGTCAACAATTAGAAGAACTCTATCAAGAAGCAAAACAAGATGGAAAACATCCATTTTATTTACAACAACGATTGCTAGATGATTATACGCAAAAGAAATCTTTAAAAAAAGCGTTTACACTTTTACGTGAAATGGTTGCCAATAGAAATCAGGTTTGCATAAGATTTAATCACGAATAAGAAATACTGAAAATTCTTTTTTTCGAGCATTAGTAACCACGGTGAAACAGAAAAATCGTGTGTAAGAAAAAAACGCAAATAATCGTGATGAAAACATGAGAAATCATTTGATGGAAAATCGATGAGTTGTTCTACATTATAAGAATTGCATGTAATGAAATATTTACACAGTTAAGATCTAAATTCTAATATCAAATAGCTCAGATGATTTTCATGAGCAATTTTTCAGTGTAGATTGAAATTTCTCGACTGTTGTGTTTCTGTTTATTCATCAAGTACATGAGTTTTGGTTCGATAGAATATTCGATTATTTGAATTCTTCAAATCTAATAAAGTCACATGCAGAAGAATTTTTGACTTGAAACTCTTTCACTTTTGAAAAACCCCCATTATTCTTTAGAGAACTAGTTTTAGCTAGAAGCATCCTATCGACTTGCTTAGTCTTTGATTCACATCATGAACTTGAAATTAATAGTTTTTAATTCTGATCCTGTCAACTCTCTAACACTAATGCTCTCTGATAAGGACATTCTTGAAATATGTATATTTGAAGAAAACAAATTAAATCGGAAATATTTATTCTACGAAAAAAAGTTCTTTTCTATTATATCATAATTTTAACTAATGAATTTTGTTTTTTCGGTAGATTCATCCGTCGGTTTATCATCGTTTATTTGATTTTCTGACTGTTCTACTTGACGATAAAGCTGATACATCTAAATTAGAACATAGTGATGATTTAAAATTCTTAGTTGACCAATATGAAAAATCATTCGGCATTAAGAATTTACCAACGGAATTAGCATTTCGTTTAGCTCATATGTATGTTCTTAGTGGTGATCAAGATAATGCAATAGAAACAATTTCAACAATAATAAATTCGGAATTAAATAATGAAATTTGTCAGTATTTAATGAAATTTCTTAAAATCAACGCATCATCGTTGACTACTGACGGCTTAACATCAATTGGAAATCTGTTTCTTGGTTTTCGTATAAACGAAACAATCAGAGCGTTTTGGACCTTATTTTTCAACATTCTATTAGAAAAAACAAGCCCACAAGATATTGTACAATACTATTCCGATGCTATGAGAGAAAATAGCAGTATACCGTATCTTCATCTTTTCAAAGTAAAATACTAATTATTTTCCTGAGAACAGAAAATAAATATTCGCGAAACTTTTTTTCTATATTTTTCTAGTTGTTTATTGAAAAAAATGAATTAAATCGTTTACAAGATATTGTTGATATCGCGACATTACAGCATGGATCTCGTAATGTTTTACATGATCTTGCTTTTACATTGATCGAAGCCGGAAAAATAAAGGAAGCTGAAAAAATCTTCCGAACACCTTGGCTTAAAGCACGAAATACTCGAATTAATTTACATGCTTTACTTTTGGCTGGTATTTAAAAGCAAAAGAAAAATGTGTCTTCTTTATCGAGCGTTTTTTTTAATTGCAGATTCAAATAATCTCAATGCATTGGTCGATGCTATTAAGTTAACACGAAGTTTATCTGGTGTCAATCAAAGTCAATTAGTTACAGCGGCAATCCGGTAAAGAAAAAATTAAACAAAGGAGGAAATATTTTTAATGTTTTCTTTTATAGTGTGGCTTTACGTCTTGATCAATCCGATATAATCGCTTGGTTGGTCACAGAAATTCAAGAAAATAAAATCCAACTTGATATTCGAATAAAAAAGTATTTAAACCATTAGCTAAATCCGAGAGAAAAATAAAATCTTGAAATATGATACAGAATTTAAAACAGAAAACTTGTTGAAATTGCTGTTGATTTTAATATAAAAAAAAAAAAGATTTTATAGATACTTATCTCAAGAGTCAGTCCGTCAGAATGATTTTATAGACTTGTTCTCAAATAATAAAAGCTGTTAATACAATCGTTGAGAGTTAAAAGTATGAAGTACAATGAAACTGCCTTTGCTGAACACAAGGACAAGTTTTCTCGACAAATTCGGATTAATCTTTTCTTCTGTTTTTTAAGCTCTATTCTCTAGAAGTATACTAATAAAGTACTTCAAATATAGTAAGAAGACATTATTGATATACGGCATGTGATGACGTATTGCTAGAATGTCTGTCACATTTGAAGGACGAGTCGAGTTTTAGATTGTATATCTCGAAAGAAGTTAACTGCGTACATCTCATTTCTAGCTAATACGCTTCCTCGATATCAGACGAATAGAATAGCGCTGACTTGTTTATTAGGTTTTTTTCAAATTTAGCCATTCTGTATTGTATTGGTCTCAAAGAAAATGACGATAGAAATTTGAACGATCGAAAAGTTTGAACACTACGGAATAACCGCAGGCACTAACATAACAAGAATCAAGCGATGTACTTATATACCAGTGTAATTCGTCTAGCATATGTACATGATTATTGATATTATGCTAATCCTTTCCTGAGTTGTAGATCGTGACAAACATTTTCTAAAAGACAAAAGGTCTTAAGTCTTTCAAATAAACTTTAAAAGCTATATATACGTATATCAGAACCTGGATAAAGCTGTACTACACGTGTGCTCTACTTGACCTGTTATGATATTAAAGAAATAGAAAATAAAATAAAAAGAGGAGATTACTCGATGCACTGACGTATATTTGTTAATCGAAATCTACCTTAAGATCATGAAGCATGTTTTTGTTACATTATATTAATATGATTTTGATTGTTCAGATACCTCGACGCCCATTTGCTATCAAAAGGTCTTGATCCATTGAACATTGCCACCTATGAAAATCAAAAGAAAGGCGAAAAAGGTTCAATGTCTTCCAATGATGATGATGGTATGAGCATAATATTATCGTGCATAGCACACTAGTTTTTTTTTATTTCTGTTTTATTTAGTCTCCGTCCATGAGCAACACAGGATGAGTGCTCAAAATTAGCCACGAACAGTTAATTAGGCCAATTTTTTTGTGTCTTGATCCACTTTTCTCTCTCATCATTTTTGTTGATTTGCCTTGAATTTTCTTGTTTTCGTTTTTCTTTCTCTTTGCTTTTGTTCTTCATGCTGCAAACCACAACATATTTCATGCATGCAACCTGTATCAACTATTTAGAATTTACAATGAGATCAATGATAATTTTCAACATTATAAAACGGATTTACACTAAGACTGGTTAGTGTCTCTATTTGTTTTGTTTTTCCTTTTTTTGTTGTTGTTTTATGACCTTTCACGTTTTATGATGAGAATAAAAGCCACCTCTAGAAGAAGAAAAAGACAGAAACACTTCCACAGATCTTTATTCATACGAGCAACATATTCAATATGAATGCAATCATATATATTTTTATACTATTACAGTTATCTGTAAATCACATACAAGCAGAACAGTGTGTATTAACCTCAAACGACGAAGTTCAATTGACTTCGAGCATATTTCTTCAATCACGACGTTATTGTAGTTCATTTAATTTTCTTCCAACACAAACACATAGAATAATTATTTCTGGTCGTTTGGTTGATTATACAAGCCGTTGTAAACGAACAATACCTGATGCAAATATTGAAATAATACATACACAACCAGATTTTCGTTCAATTTGTCACGAGCTTCATCATCCTAACTCGCGTGGTCATTTCAATTTAACAACATTAATAGCATCGTCATTAACTGAACAACTTTTTCTACGTGTAACATCACCTGGTTACGAAACAATTCTTAAAGAAATTGTGATACAATCATCACAAAAACAAATACAAGATATAATTCTCGATTGGCACCTTGTTTTGATGCCTAGTATGGAACAGGTACAATTGCAACAACAACAGAAACAACGAATGAGCTCCACAATAGATTCACTCATGTCACAAATGACATTAGATGAAAAGATTGGCCAACTAAATCTTGTTTCGATTGGTTTCGATATAACTGGTCCGATTGTAAGTGAAAATGTCGATGAAAAAATTCGTTATGGTCTTGTTGGTGGTGTATTTAACACTTATACACCAACAGCTGTTCGGCGATTACAGGAACTTGCTATAAATAATACACGTCTACGAATCCCTCTCATATTTGGTTATGATGTAATTCATGGACATAAGACTATTTTTCCAATACCACTCGGTATGAGTACTACGTGGGACATGGCATTAATAGAACAAAGTGCACGTATTGCCGCTCAAGAAGCATCAGCTGATGGTCTGAATTGGGTATTCTCGCCAATGGTTGATATAGCACGTGATCCGCGTTGGGGAAGAATAGCAGAAGGTGCTGGTGAAGATCCTTGGCTTGGTAGTCAAATAGCTGCTGCTATGGTACGTGGCTATCAAGGATCAGATTTATCACGCTCAAATACGGTTATGGCGTGTGTTAAGCATTTTGCTTTATACGGTGGTGCAGAAGCAGGTCGTGATTATAATACAGTTGATATGAGCCGTATATCAATGTATCAGAATTTTCTTGCACCTTATCAAGGTGCTGTCGAGGCTGGTGCTGGTAGTGTGATGACGTCATTCAATGAAATTGATAGTATTCCAGCATCAGGCAATCGTTGGTTATTACAGAATCTACTACGTGACCAATGGAGTTTTAATGGTTTTGCTGTTACAGACTATACATCAATTAATGAAATGGTTGAGCATGGTGTAGGCAATTTACAAGATGTAAGCTCTCGTGCACTAAATGCAGGTGTCGATATGGATATGGTTGGCGAAGGATTTCTTACAACATTAAAAACATCTCTACAAGAAGGTAAAGTTAGTGAACAAACAATAAATCAAGCGTGTCGTCGTATTCTTGAAGCCAAATTCAAATTAGGTTTATTCGATGATCCATATCTTTATTGTGATGAATCACGTACACCAACTGATATATTTACCTATGAAAATCGTTTAGCGGCAAAAGATTTTGCTCGTCGTTCATTTGTTCTTTTGAAAACTGATAGAAAAACACTACCATTAGCAAGATCAAATTTAAATATTGCTCTTGTCGGACCATTAGCAGATGATAATAGAAATTTACTCGGTACTTGGGCTGCTGGTGGTGATTGGCGTCAAACTGTTAGTGTTCGTGCAGGTATTGAGAAGCTTGTTGGTAATCAAGTTCAAGTTTCATATGCAAAAGGCTCAAATATTCTTGATGATTCATATATGCTAGATGCATTAAATGCATATGGAAGTAATATTGTATCGGATGAACGTTCTCCTCAAGAAATGATCAATGAAGCTGTAGCTATTGCAGGAAAATCTGATGTTATTATTGCTATTCTTGGTGAAACTGAAGGTATGAGTGGTGAAGCAGCAAGTCGGGCAGACATTGGATTACCTGAATCTCAAAAAAATTTACTCAAAGCATTATTTGATACAGGTAAACCCGTAGTTATTGTATTAATCAATGGTCGACCATTAACATTAACATGGGAACATGATCATGCAGCAGCTATCTTAGAAGCATGGTTTCCTGGAACAGAAACAGGTAATGCTATTGCCGAAGTACTTTTTGGATATTATAATCCTGCTGGTAAGCTTACAACAACATTTCCTCGTCACGTCGGACAGATTCCTTTGTACTATAACCATAAACGTACAGGACGACCATTCAATTCAAGTAATTTCGCAGAAAAATACAAAGTAATTAGCACAATATTCATCATTTTTGATATATCTCGTTATATTCTATATGTGTTTGTTATCTAGAGTCGTTATTTAGATATACCCAATGATCCGTTGTATCCATTTGGTCATGGTCTTAGTTATACTTCATTTGATTTTAGTCCTATACATGCAGATAAAACAGAACTTCATGGTGATTCAGATCGTTTGACTCTACGTATGGGTGTAAGTAATGTTGGTGCCTATGCCGGCGAAGAAGTTATTCAATTATATATAAGTGATCCAGTAGCAAGTTCTACACGAGCTGTACGTGAATTAAAAAGCTTTAGAAAACTATTTCTTCGATCGCAACAGCAGGAAGAAGTTTCATTTGTTATTACAACAAATGATTTGAAATTTTACAATAGCAATCTTGATTATGTTTGGGAAGAAGGAGATTTCATCATTCATATTGGTCCTGATTCAGTCAATACTAAATCAGTAGCAATCAAGTGGTTTAAATAGAACGACTGAATGAATTCAACAATCATATGTGTTGCTTTTATTTTGTCATGAGAACGAAACATGAAAACTACTAAAAAGATGAGCTTTGTGCTTTTTAAATTCATACATTCAATAAAATAGTGAATTTGAAAGAATATAAAGAAAATATTTTAGATTAGTTGCTAAAATTTCAAAGAAAGTTATGAACGTATTTAATGTGTAAGCTTACTGTTTCACGTATGGCTAACAGAGACACTACTACAGTTCAGAGAAGAAATATATATAAGGATAAACAATTATTTTTTCTTGTCTATCACTTAGCTGTCATCATCTTCTCCGTTTGCAGCAAAAACATATAAGTTAACATAAAAAGAAAACAGTAAGTGCACGCAGTATTAATTATGAAAGAAACAAAAAAAGAAAAAGATAAATGTATCGATATGCCAAGTATACATAGATAATTATAGACAGTTACAAAAAAAAGCAAGATGTAATAGAATTATTTGTTTCTATTTCAATTTATAGATTAAATTATGAAGGATTTAGGTATATTAGAAGCGTATCTTTTCAACACAAATGACAATTTTTGTAAGTTTTTTTATTGCCTGTGTTGTATAAAGAAAAATCTTTAAAATAGTCAAATTTACACGATAAGCCTTCACTGCCACACAGTACTGGAAAATACACTGTTTTCTTTTTGTAAAATCCATACATTTAGAGTAACTTCGATTTATAGTTGTTGCAATGAAAAATACTTCCCATGATTATGGGTAATCCAGGGCTTCGGTTTGCCGTTTGCCGATGTTTTTTGTCATTTTTAGCCAATATCTACATAAATAAATCATTAGTGACTTTATAGAAAGTAATCACTCAGAAGGGCTATGCATGAGTTTGAACGCAAGAATTTGTTTAAGTCACAGCTAATTACTACTTAGCCACAGGTTTGCATTCTTTTGAGTTTCTCTCATTTTCATAGTCATTTTCTCGTAGTCATGATACGGCATCAAACAATGTATGACAGTTAGATATGTTCGCTGCTTGACAAATTATCAGCTTTCTGCATTACATTTGACAACTTTGAATGTAATTTGATCGAGTTAATTCGTTTTGAAAAAGTATTTGAATTTTTTTCATCTCTTTTATCTTTTTATTTACCAACGGAAAAAAATTATTTTAAGAATATTATTTTGTTAATCAAAGGAAAAAACATAAAATATTAGGTTTAATAAAACAAAGACTGAATTAGATCATAATAGATAGGATTTATTTTTCACATGTAAATATGTGTGAATATGCACATAAATAAAAACGCTTGTTTATATAGACAATTAATGCCTATGGATTGGATACCATAATATCTTATTCCTTGGTTCCCACTGGTGCGCCTAAATGAGCAACAGGAGTTTCCGAAATTGTGAACTGATCACCTGACAACCAACCTTCATTTTCACTATCGGCTTTCTTCCGTGGATCACGCAGTGTCTCCTCGTCATTTCTATGAGCCTGAGCGATAGTACTTGCTTGGACTGACTTGCTATCTGTCAATAATAAATAGTGGAGTTATCGAAAAACAAATATTTCGTGAAATTTTTACCCTTTTGTGTCGAACTCATGATTAGTCTCTTGATATGACTTGGTTTAGTTGTTTATGAATATGATGAATAATAAGCTCGAACGACTGATGATTGCGATTTATCTTAGTTTTTATACTGACGGCTATTCCTTCAGATAACATCGTTTAAATACTCCCAACAATTCCACTCTAGTAGAATGAAAAAAGTGCACGCAATACTCTCTATGAATCGGAAGATGTATATTTATCTATATGTATACATTGATATTCTACTACATGACCAAAAAGTCCCAAGTGTTGGACAGAAGAAATGTCTTTTACTTGTCTCGATATGTGCTATTTAGGGAGAAAAAGATTTTCTCGTTCTTCCACTGAAGGTTAGCTCGATTCATCTAATTACGACGCATTATATTGCGTACGAAACACTTCGTACCAATACACTTTAGAGGCCATTTATTTTTCTTTCCAGATCAGCTCAACGTCCAATAATCAGTGACAGAATGATCTTGAGAATGATGAATCATTTGATGTGCGTTGAAATGTTATTGGAACGTGCATATGTCTATATGGTACAGATTTTGCCCGATTCCTTAATGATGTTTCAACAGCAAAAAATAAAATTTGGATAATAATAATAATCTACGGTTGGTAATGATTACTATGCAACTAAATTCGTCCACCTGACTTAGCCATAATTAGTTATCGGTAGCACTAAGAAAGGTCCAACGATGAACAATTGCGAACACAACTGATGATAGATGATAATAAGTCATATCAATAATAGAATGGACAATCGAACTTAATCTTTTGAAGCAAGTCAATGCATAAAGAAAATCTGGTTTCAGTGCAACAAAAAAAAAACACTCTTATAAAATAAATGCTACTAGAAATATTTCTCAAAAAATATAAGTTGTTTCTCATTAGATGTTGTTTTTTGTCGACGTCTTTCTTCAATACTTTAACACATTCAAATAGAATAATATTGATATTATGAATATATAAATAAATCGGACTGCTCCAGATTTCATGAAAGTTTCATTCGCTCTTTTCCAACTTTATACTAATACTACCCAGGTCGAGTATTACGGCGACTAGAAACGATCGGTCTCGACCGAAAACGCTAACGTATACTATCGTTTCTTGTCGTTTCCGACCGTAAATCGCCGTAAGTTGACGTTTTGGCATGCACCGTATTTGACCGTGTCGTAAATGGCTGATCACGGCCATAATACGGTCGAAAAATTGAGTATACGATCGGTTACGGTCGTTTACGACACGTTGAGAAACGGCCGCAATACGGTGCATACCAAACGGCGAAAATATTAACTGAAACGGCTGTTTACGACCATGTGTCTTTCACCTGGGTATAAACCCACAATATACATATGGAAACACTACAGAACATCTGAGAACTATAACGTGTCACAAGTAAAAAATCAATATTATGATGAACGTAAACTTTTAAAATATTCATCTTTAGAAGAAGCTATCGTCTCTTCAGAAAGATACAGATAGATAGTCGAAGTCAACATAGAAATGCCACTACAATATGCTGATGTGGGTCGATTGATGTTTTTTATATTCATAACCATATCACAACAAGATTTACACGCCATCACCAACACCTACGGCTTTTTGTTGGACATAACAGAATGTAAACAAAATACATCTCTTTAATAGCAGTACGAATCTGATGAAGAAAGCGGTTTTATTTTTCTAGAGACTCACTACTAGGAAAATGAATATGTAAAATTTCAAAGAAAAACAAATAATATTCATCAATAATTTCTTGATTTTGCGTATTGTTTTCCTGTTACTCTTTATATTTATATAAAACACCATTTATGACGAATATAGACCAAAGTAAATATTGTAAAATGATAATTATAATATATACTTTTCTAGATACATTGAATCATACAATACGTACACATGATTAATATTAGAATAAAAATACGATGTAGAAACCAAAGTATTCTTCTAGCATACCTGAACTCTTTTTTAATGTTCTTCGAATCGTTCTTCATGTCAGGGATCATCGTGACAAACATCGTGTATAGAGAGAAAAAAATTCATAATCTTCAATATAAAATTTGCATCAAACTATGCGTAGTATCAGTTGTATTTGATTGATTGTGATATTTAAGAGAAACAAAATAGAGATAAGAGTTTATTTATTCCACTGGCATTTACCTATCAACCTAAATCTAGTCAAAGATCATGAAATATAAATAGTTCCACATTTAAGCGTTATCCGAATACTTTTTTGATTGCTTAGATATCTTCATTTTCAGATGTTATTTCAAAGTTTTGATCCATTGAACATGGAAACTTACGGCAGTGATAGAAAAAATGAAACAGATTTCATATCTTCAGATAATAATTATGTTACATGTATGTTTATACGCTGACCACCGACTATAAAGAATTCAAAATATTCGAGAATAAAACAGTTTTGAGATATATTTAACTAATTCAAATTTACTTCTTGCATTCTATAATAAAAATAAATCTTATCTAATATCTAGAAATGATTCTGTGGCCTAACTATTATATCGATGGTTATGGCGCATCAGCACAATCAAAGTTTATCGAAATCAAGTAAATACAGATAATCTTCGCACAATTTCTAAAGATCCAGCGATTTCGATATATTACATTATTGTACTGCACTATTTTTTGCTCATATTACTTCGATGAGTCTACCGATGCTTACTGAAATCGTTTTTTTATGCATTATGATTGATGCTGTTTAATGTTCGATTTTATACTCTGTTGTTCTTTATTCCATTTTCGTTCTCTCTATCCATGGCTAAAACCACTGCATACTTTCATGCGTGCACCTGTATCAACTATTTACAATTTCAATATTAAGAAACGGATTTACACTAAGACTGACTAGAATATCTATTTATTTCATTTTTCATTTCTTTGCTTGTTATTTTATGATATTTCCTATGTTATGGTGAGAACGAAAGTCACCTCTACAAATTGGAAAAAGAACAGAAATACTTCTACTGATTATACTCCTCTTTGATCACAACAAACGATCTGAAATTTTACAATAGTAATCTCGATTATATTTGAGAAGACGAAGATTTCATAATTCATATTGGTCCTGATTGAGTTAATACTAAATCAGCTGTAATCAAGTGGTTTAAATGGAACAACAGAATGAATTCAACGATCAACACCTGTTCGGTCTTGATAACGAATGGTAACAAGTTCTGAAAAGAATCGAGCTTGTTTTTGTTTATCGATAATGAAGATTTTACAGTTCTAGTAGAAGCTTAGGTTACTTTGAACCTTATAAAACAGTTCATTTCAAATAAACTCACATGAAATTTTTTTTCCTGATTCATATTAAAACCATCTAAGTACATCGGCTTAGAAATGGCTTATAAAAAGTTTTCTAATCGGTTATAAAAGCTAAAGAATATCATTTGAT